AAAGATTATATAAACAATATATTATTCTCTCTAATCACATATTCTCTTGTCAATTCATTGAATTTTCTTTTGACTATTCATAACTAACTTAATAGAAATATCATATATATTATATTCTTTTTAATAAAAAACTACAATTTAACATTTATTATTGAACATTATACTTACTTATTTTTATATGGAATTAAAATCAGTTATTTCTTTGTTTTACTACTCTCTATTCATTATTTCTTCATAAATTTTGTTTTGATTATTTTGTCAAATTGTTTTTGATTTAGAGATTTTTTTTAGAATAAAATACAATATAACAATAACAAATTTACTTAGTTTGAATGAACTAAAACATTACTCTTACTTGATGATAATTACAATAAGTAACCAAATAGTTATTAGAATTAGTTTTATTAACACACACAATTTATATATTCTTTAAGAGTGAATTATTTAAAATGTCAATAATCTGTTTCTAACAATCCAATTTGATTTTTTGAATAATTTTTGAAATAACAGAAAGAAGACAAGAAAATAGTTCAATCAATGATTTAATTATCAAATATTTCCTCTTTGATTAAAGTTTTTTCAAAGAATTAATAATTATTTGTTTTATAAAACAACTAGAAACAAACCCTAAAACATATTCTATTACTTTCCATTTTTCAAGTTTAATAAAGAAAGAACAAGAAACAAGTTATTTGAAATTCACAAAGAATGGAAGATGGCATAATCTGTGGATTTATTGAAGAATTACAAGAAGAAGAAGTGCCAAATCCAATTATGAATAGAAGTGGTGGATGTGCTAGTTGGTTAGGTAAGAAAGTACCTAATAACTCATGTCCACATTGTCAGAAACCTATGTTATTTATGTTACAATTATACGCACCATTAGAAATGGTACAATCATATCACCGAGTATTTTATTTATTTCATTGTCCATTTTGCTTAAAATTCACTGTGTTAAGAAATCAATTACCTGAAGGAACTTCATATGACAAAGAAGATTTTTGTGAGAGCATTGTTACTGAAGAACAATGTGTAATTTGTGGATTTCCTTCTTCAACACATTGTCCTGATTGTACTACACCATACTGTTGTTCATTACATTGTTTATATGATAGAGAAGAACATAAATTGAAATGTGGACAACCATTACAAAGAAAATTAGGAGGAAGCAGAGATAAAGCAAAACCTCAAAAAAATGCATCAGAATATCTCATTGTCACTGAACCAGAGAATGAGTTAATAGAAAAAGAAGATGTTCAGCTAAAAAAGGTAATAGAAACTATGCACCCAGACAATGAAGATTTAGGAATTAAAGAATCTGATTTACAACAAAGTGATCCAGTCTGGATTAAATTTAATACAAAAATTGCTAAAGACCCAAGTCAAGTTTTGAGGTATCAATTCAATGGTAAGCCATTATGGATTAAATCAAATGATATTCCACAACACCCTCCTTCTTGTCCTCGATGTGGTAAACAATGTGTTTTTGAATGGCAATTACTTCCACAATTTATTTATGCAACAAATTTAGATATTGAACTTAACATTGACTTTGGTACTATTGTAGTATATTCATGTCCTGATTCATGTGGAGGTGATGATTATGTTAATGAACCAATAGTAGTTCAATACTTTGACTGTATTTGAGGGTGTCTGGATAATTATAATTCTTTTTAGTAAATTTTATTATTAAAATATAGTAAAAAAAAGAACTTAAAAGAAAAGAAGAAAAGAATTAATGAGTCATATATTGTTTGTTGTAGAAATTTTATTTTAATATTTTTAATATATTTAATTTGGTTCTAATAATCATTTATTACTTATTCATAGAACTGCTGAAATTACTTTTCCAACTGAAGAAATAGCAAAAACAGTCCTTCGGGTTGTTAGTGTAGATAAAGAATTTAAAAAGCATGAAGTTACAAGAAATTTAATTGTAGAAGGAAATATAATGAAAATGTTTGTTATTTCTAAGGTATAGTTACTTAATGTAAAATTGATGAAATTGACTTAATTTAGCGAATATATTTCAAATGATCTTAAACTTATTAGAAATGGATTTAATACATTAACTGAACATATTCATCTTTCTTTAGACACTATCAAGAATTTTGCATGAGAAAATAATTTAACTTTTCTTCTCTTTTTTTTTTCTTTATTCAATTAAACTCAATTTGTTTCATCTTCTTATTTAATATATAATGGGTTTAGTTGATAGATATTCTATGTTGATTATTGCACAATATTTTCCAACGATAAATGATCTTTTTCATGTAATGTTAGTCAATAAAAAGTTCATTAATTTAAATGAATTATTTCATTATAATCCATATGATATTTCAATTAATCAATTAAAGTATTTCCCTTATTTACATACACTTCACTTTTATAAATCAATTACAATTCATGAAGTTCCAAAGGTATTTAAAATCGTTATTCATTTTGATATTTCCTATTTTCAATTACTTAATTATCAAAAAAAGTTTCAAAGAAAAGTTGAAGGAAAAAGAGTCATATTAACAGAGATAGAGCGAAATGATTTAAATATTTATAGTTTGGATGAAGTACCTTCAGAAGTAACAATTCTTGGTCAGTCATGTTTTGCTCTTTTAGATATAGAAAGTCTTAATTTTTCACCTCAAATTCATGAAATACATGAAAATTGTTTTAATGGAATAGATAAATGTTCATCGCTTGTAATTCCTACAACTCTTACATTTATTGATCAGTTTAGTTTTTCAAATAGTTCTTTAAAAAGTATAACTATTCATGATGGAATTCTTCTTAGAATGAAAGCATTTGATTATTGTGGAGATGTCACAGAAATTCATTTAACCTCAGGAAAGAAATTTCATGGATTTGTAGATACTTCTCTACAAGAATTATTTAAAGAAAAGAAAATTGAAACACCAAATGTATATTTTGATACGTTTTCTATCGCTTTTCTTGAAGATGCATCAGTCATACCGAAAGAATATAAATATATTACTGATTATTGTTTTAATGAAGAAATAATTAATACAATTCATCTCTCAGAAGGTATTATTCATCTTGGAATTAGAACATTCAAAAATTGTTATTCATTAACAAATATTTATCTTCCAAATTCGTTAACATCAATTGGAAAAGGATGTTTTAGTGGATGTAGTTCACTCAGTCAAATAACAATTCCATCCAACATTACATCTATTCCACAAAAATGTTTTAAGAATTGTAGAAACCTTTCTTCAATCAGTTTTAATGGGAAAATTACAGAATTTGGATTTGAATGGAATAAAAACACACAAGTTTTATGTTCTGTAGAACAAGAAAAGAAGAAAGAAGATGGTTCATTTAATTATAATAAGAATAAATTACTTCAAATATATTTTGAATGTCATTCTAATTGAGTAGTAGATGGTGATGTTTGTGGAAGAATAGGAATGACATGACCAGAACTTTTGTTTCTTTTCATTGTTTTTTTTTACAAAAGTTTTTATTCAAAAAGAAGAGGGAAAAAAAAATAAACTTCAAATATCAAATGAAGTTAGAAAGAGTGTTTTTAATGAATGTTGTTTTATATATTGACTCGATGACAACATTAATTAAATTTATTTTAATAAATAAAAAATGTTTAGAGTCATGTAAAAATTTATATAGTAGTCCATTTAATATAGATTATCAAAAAAAAGATATGATTAAGTTAATGAAATTATTTGAGAAAATGAATACATTACATTGTAGTGCTGGGTTATTTGTTTATGAAAGTATTAAAGAAAGTAAAAAAATAGAATATGTTTTAGATAGATTAAAACATCTTGATTTTGATTGTTCTGTTTTTGATACATTTGATGTTAATGCAATTTCATTTATTCATTATTATTCAAATAGAATTCGTTATTTAATATTTAAAAGGGGAATTGGATTAGTAGAATATTCACCTCTTCCAGAGTTAGAAAAAATGGAAACATTAATACGATTTGAATGTGGAAATGAATTTTTAATTAAAATGACAGAAACTCCAAAATTTGGGAAATGTTTTAAGAAATTAATAATAAATCTAGAGTCATTGAATAAGGAATACATTCAAACATTATTAACTTATTTCCTTGATGTTCCATTTAAAGTTATTATTAAAGTTGAATATTTAAATTCATTTGATTTAAAAACATGGAAAAATGAATTTAATAGACATCGTTCTCAAACTGAATTTATATTACTTGCTAATAAGACTGAAGGTATTGATATTCAAGAATTTGATCAATTTTTATTTAATATTAAAAAGAATAACATTAATATTAGATATTATAATATTGTAAAAAATAATATGGATAACATATTTAAAATTTATTATCCTACTGAAGTCACTGTATGGAACTCTGACTTAGAAGAAAATGACTCAATAGCTCATTTTGAACGTTTAAAATATATTGAAGCATTAAATCTTATTTCACTAAATTTTAAATTTACTACAACATTATATTTTCCAACAACATTAACTTCTCTTAGGATAGATGATTGTGGAGTTGTTACACAATTAAATAATTTACAATTTTTACCATTAAAAAATTTAGATATTAAATATTCAGGAGGAATTTCAGAATTATTACTTCCATCTTCTTTAAAAAATATTCGACTTGAAAGACTTTTCTATTTAAAATCAATACAAGGATTAAAACAATGTGATTTAACTCAATTCAGTATATTTGGTTGTGGAGAAATTAAAGAATTAGAACTTCCAAAAGTATTATCATGTATTGTATTTCAATGTAGAGAATTAACTAAGGTTGATACACAACAAAATACAACAATGACTTATCTTTCATTAAAACAATGCCCAAAATTGAAGGGAATTTATTTACCAAAATCATTAGTATTAATGAAGACACAATGGGATAATAAAATTAATGGTTGTCAAACAGTGTAAAATTTATTTTTATTTAAAATCAATCAATAAAAAAGGTTCTAGTTCATTTCAATTTATATTTAATTCGTTATATATCTTTTCAATATAAAATCTACGTGAAGTAAATTGTATGTCGAAGGTATCTGAGTCATAAATAATTTTAAGTCCAATATATTTTTCCCATAATTCAATGATTTTTTTATCAAGTTCTTTCGTTCTTTTAGATAATAATTCAGAAATAGAATATGACGGGTCAGGGAATTGTGCTTTATTTGCAAATGCAGGCCATGTCATAATAAGATTACACACCCAGTCTTTGTCATATTCGAGGTCTGTTTTTTGTTTTAAAGGAAGGTCAAGATAAGATATTGCATTTTTATACCCAATTTTACCTAATGCAATAAAATGTGTTGATCCTTCTTCTGCATGATACTCACAATGCATATGTCCAGAAATCCAATATTTTGGTTTAAGAGTGTTTAAAATGACTTTATTAATAGGTGAACCAAGAGAAGCTCCGTCTTTTTTAAAGCCAGGTTGGAATCTGTATAATTGTTTGTAATTGCCTTTCATTACAACACCTTGTGGCCAATCATGTGATAGTGAAATGTCAATTTGAGAACTTTGACTTAAATTTGAAAGCATTTGAATAACATAATTTCTTGTATGAAATAATGAAACGACATCATTTGGAGATGGTGGGTATGTGTATGGTTTTGTCTCATCAAATGACTTATAAATTCCTGATACTCCAACAATTCTTAATCCATTTATATTTATACAAGAACATACTCCTAGATAATACATATTAAAACAAACAAAACCTCCATTGTAAAGGTGTAATAATACATTAGATGATTCATGGTTTCCTCCTATAAACAATGTTAAATATGGTGCTTTTTCTTTTCCTTCATAGTACAGATGGAAGTCTCCCATTTGTTTATACTTTGGTGGTACTTTTAAATATACTAAATCAGCTTCATATCTCAGGGTTTGCATATCTCCTGTACATATTACAAATGAAATTTCTTTTCCAGTACTTTTTTCATATTCAGACAACTGTCGATACATCTCTCTGTATTTACCATGAACACAGCCAACTATTGCTATATGTTGTATTTGTTCAGTTGACATTGAATAAAAAAACTGACTAATAAAAAAAATAAAATATTTTATAAAAACAATATTTTTATATTTAAAACATTAAGAAGATAAAATCACTAATTGAAATAGTAATAATGTAACAGTACTAATTAAAAAAACTAAGATATGTCTACACTTTTAAAATACAAAATCTAGTACCTCTCTTTCTCAATTTTACACTAAATATTAATGAATTACATTTCTATGATTTACTTAATGCATGTAACATTAACTAATAATGAGGTTATGAACAAGAAGAGAGAATATTTCTTTAATATATTTTCTAAATTAATAAAAATACATTTTTTTAATGTTTTATAAACAGAATTAAATTTTAAAATTTATTATTGTTATTTAAAGTCTTTTATTAACTTGCATCTTATACAATTATTAAATACAGTGGAGACTAGATTAAACAATGGAAAAACTTTGATTGTGATGTTTTCACAACTTAATACGTTTAGAATAGACAATGAGCTTGGAAGAATTATTTCTATTTCAGAACGAAGTTTGAGTTGTTTGAGTTGTAAATATTCTAATGTTGGAGTTTGAAGACTAAAATTTATTGAAGACATTCTAATTGTGGACATCCCAAAAGTAATATCAGAAGATAAGACTAATGACTTTAATGATATTGGAAGAATATATTTGTATTTAGCCTCTGTGTTAATAACTAAATGCATCTCAATTATCTTTAACTGTGAAAGATTATACAGAGGAGTTAAAAAAGATACTGGAAGGTTTTCTATCTTACAATGAACAGAAATGCTTAATACTAATTTTTCAATCAAATAATTGAGCACTTCTATTTCTTTACATAAATTTTTAATATGAGAAGAATACCATCCATATTTAAATTTCATACTAAAATGCTCAGAAATTACAAATTTTGTTTCCATTAAAATCTCTGGAATCACACATTTAAATAAAACATAAACATTTGGTAGTGATGCTACTTTTTTCCATCTTTGGACTTCACTTTTAAGACAATCATATGCGATAATAATAAATTTAATTTTTGGATATTTTTTAATTTGATGATAAATAGAGTCTTTAATAGTATTTGTTATAGTAATTAGTTTAACTTTTTGCAACATAGTTTTTAGAGAGAGAAAATTCATAACCTTCTCTAAATAAATAGAGATTGACTCCCCTTTATTAAATTTTGAAGAATTCCAACCAATTTCTTCTTCCAAAATAATAGTTAAGTATCTTAAATTTTTAAAAGAAGTCATATGAATAAGAAACCACCATGCACTGTAATTAGATACAATCGAATAATCAACTAATTTTTCTATAGCACAATTCTGGTGTTCATGAATTTCAGTACCAATTGAATGAATACCTTTTGGTAACCATCCTTCTGGATAACCTGGTAAATAATTTCTCAATGAATCATAAAAATAATACTCTCCGTGACTATTTATAAAAAGAGGAAATGTCAAAGAAGATAAAGATGAATCTTGTTCGTCATCATTTTCCATTTTATAAAGATCAAAATTACAAACTGTTTCTATAAGACTGACATTGTTTATTATATTTTGTGGAAGAAAAACATTCAAGTCTTTAATTCTAAATGTTTGAATATTTGGAAAAAATAAAATAATTTTGTATGCCCAATTTTTTATCTTTTCACCTATACCATACTCAATGAGTGGGTTTGTTTTAAGTACTTTACATGAATTCTGACACTTTTTAGAAACAAAAAGAAATGACTTTACATCACTGAATTTAGTAAAATAAAGAAGAACATTTGCCATAAAACAAAGTTCTAATGTATTCTTTTTTATAGTACTTTTCAACATCTTGTTTAATATTTATTAATACTTCATATATATAAATCTTACTTTCTTTTCTTTTTAAATAAATACCTAAATCATGAAGAATGTACAAATTCAATTAGCAGTTCAAAGAACTATACTTCTCTTTTTATTTTGAATCAAAATCTTCACTAATTGTTTCGGTATTATCAGATTCAGTTTTTCCATTTTCTGGTATATCCTTTTGATTAATAAATTGGGATTTTGTTTCTGTAGAGCTTAATTGTCCTTTCTCAGATTCAACCCATCCATTTATTATACGTACCATTTCATTATCAATAAAAACAATATGGTTTGAAGTATTATGTACAAGCTTTTCTTTGATTAACTCACAAACATTCCTTCCAAATTTATAGAAACTCTCTTTTGTTAAAAATGGATATATCCAATTATAACGAACAAACCCCGCTTTGCCTGGTTGACAATAAGACATTTTCTTTTGTTCTGGAGATAATCCCTTTACTACTTCATTAGTAATAGTTTTAATAATTTTAGCTTCTTCAATACTTCTAACTTTTCTGTTCTTAAGTTTGAAGTTATCTATTTGAATAACTTGAAAATATTGAGGACTTCCCTCTTTGTATATCTTTAATGGACATTTAATTCCAATAGTTTTTTTACTTACAGCAATCAATAACCCAATTAAACAATTAACAAATAAAGCCTGATTTTCTCTAGACCTTCTTTTATGTTCTGCATTCTTTGGGTCATGAACTTTATGAGAGCCGTTGTTCATAAAACTCTAAAGACAATATTCGATTTTGTAGATTATTCAAACAACTACATAAAACTTTACAATTTATTTTTATAAGGATTACCTGATTGAAATTTAGTTTTTATTAATTTTCTTTTCTTCATAACATAGTAATCCATCTGTGACTGAATTCTATATTCTTCATAAAATGTTATTGTTCTTTATTATTTTAAACTTTAACAAACATAACGTTTTTCATAAATTTTTAGCTGATATTCTTTATTTATCATGTGTCGTGATGTAATTCACATCCTATAAATAGGCTTTTTTATCATTTTTAAAATATAAAAAATTTTTTATTATAAAAAATAACATGTCATATATAACATAAAATAATAAAATAAACCCTATAACAAAAAAAATAGTCAAAAATGAAAAATAAGGGTTTAGAGTCACAAAAATAAAAACCAAAGAACGCAAAATAAATTACATAGAAAGAAGATGGCTGGAGCCGCAGAACAATTTGAACTAATTGGTATTGCTAAACAAAAAGCTGAAGAAACCCTTAAGAATGCTGAACTTACTAAGACTCTTCTTGATATTATTAAAGAAGCTGGATGTGAAAAAGGATGTGAAAAGGCTATTGGTCAATTATTGTATCAATTAGCTACAAAATTAAATAAAGGAAAAGAGTCAATTAGACCACAAGTAATAGCATGGATTGTTTCTAAGAAAGTTACTAATATTAATATGGATGCTTTAATGACCTATATTAATAAACATCAAGAACTTGATATTCCAACCATTGAAAAAGAATGTGGAGTAGGAGTTGTTGTTACTAGAGAACAAATTATTGAAGGAGTTAAACAATTATTATCAGGTAAAATGGAAGAATTAAAAAAGAATAGATATACTATGGAAGGTCAATTAATAAGAGAAGCAAAAGATTCCATTAAATGGGCTGATGGTAAGGTTCTTAATGAAGAATTAATGAAACAATTAAAAGAAATATTAGGAGAAAAGACTAAAGATGATATCAAAAAGAAAGCACAAAAGAAAAGTGGTGAGCCAAATAAAAAAGAAGAAGTCAAAAATCTTCCAAAACAAAAGAATGTTGATTCAGGAGTTAAATTATCTAAGCCTTCTGATAATATTCAAAAAACTCCAGAAATTCTTGCTGAACATTTAAAAAGAACTGGAGGAATTTATGTTACTAGATTCCCACCAGAACCAAATGGATATCTTCATATTGGACATGCCAAATCAATGTATTTGAATTTTGGTTATTCAGAAAAAACTGGTGGTAAATGTTACATGAGATTTGATGATACAAACCCAGAGAAAGAGACTCATGAATTTATTAATACTATAGAAGAGACTGTTAAGTGGTTAGGACATACTCCATGTGCTGTTACTTATTCATCACAATATTTTGATAGAATTTATGATTGTGCAATTGAATTAATTAAAAGAGGAAAAGCTTATGTTTGTCATCAAACTCCTGATCAAATTGCTGCTTCACGTGAAAATAAACAACCATCTCCATGGAGAGATAGAAGTGTAGAAGAAAATCTTAAACACTTTAAATGGATGTGTCAAGGTAGATATTGTGAAGGAGAAGCTACTTTAAGAATGAAAATGGATATTAATTCACCAAACCCATGTATGTGGGATCTTGTTGCTTATAGAATTAAATTCTTCCCACATCCAGTTACAGGTGATAGATTATGTTGTTATCCATCATATGATTTTGTTCATTGTTTAGTTGACTCTTTTGAAGACATTACTCATTCTATGTGTACATTAGAATTCCTTCCAAGAAGAGAATCATACTTTTGGTTACTTGATGCACTTGATATGTATAAACCAGTTGTATGGGAGTTCAACAGATTAAATATTACTTATACTGTTATGTCTAAAAGAAAACTTCATGCTTTAGTTGATAAAGGATATGTCAGAGGATGGGATGATCCAAGAATGCCAACTATTATGGGATTCAAACGTAAGGGATATTCTGCTGATGCTATTAATAATTTCTGTAGAACCGTTGGAGTTACAACTAATACTACTGTTTATATTGACTATGAAGTTCTTGAACAACATTGTAGAGATGATATGGAGGTTAAATGTAAGAGAGCTATGTGTGTACCAGATCCTGTTAAAGTTATTTTAACCAATGTTCCAGATGATTATTGTATTGAAGTTGTAAGACCAAATCATCCAATGAACGATAAAATGGGAACTAATACTGTTCATTTAAGAAAAGTACTTTATATTGACAGAAGTGATTGGAGAGATGAAGACAAAAAAGGATATTGGGGACTTGCACCAAACAAAGTTGTTGGATTAAGATATGCAGGAAATATTATTTGTCATAAATTTGATAAAGATGCTGAAGGTAAAATTACTTGTTTATATTGTACTTTTGATGCAGATAAAAAAGAAAAACCAAAAGGACATATTCAATGGGTTAGCTCTGGTACTAATGGAGCTGAACCAGCTAAAGCCGAGTTAAGATACTATGATACTCTCTTTACTGATCCTAAACCAGAAAGTCCAGATTGGGAAAAACTTATTAATCCAAAGTCACTCACTATTGTTAACGGTTATGTTGATGAAACTTTAGAACATGTTAAACCACTTGATTGTTTCCAATTTGAAAGAGTAGGATTTTTCTGTTGTGATAGTGACTCTAAAGAAGGAGCTTTAGTTTTTAACAGAACAGTTGGACTTAAAGAATCTAAAGAAAAGAAACAAATTTAATTTGATTCTTTTTGTTATTTAGGTACTTCGATTCATTCTGTTTTAAGTATTTTTAAAAATAAAACTATTGTATATGATGTTTTTGCTATTTTTTTTTGCTATATTTATTGACGTTGACTTTTCTGAAAAGAGAAAAAAAAAGAAATAAAAAAATATAGTTCTGGAACTTTAAAAAAATAGTTCTTGAAATGTTTAGTTAATAACCCACGTGTCAAAATCAAAGGGTTTACTTTTAGGGTATAAAATGATCTCTAAAATAATTGAATTATCAGTTATAATGGAAACTGAAAAAGTGATGGCAGATGAAAATATTACAGATCTTCCTAGTTGTGTAAAATTTTCTTGTGACGTTTGTTTTATTATGAGATTTACCAATGAAGAGATGAAATGATCTTATTAACTCAATTTTTGAAAAGTAGATCATCTAATAATTTAGTTTAGACAGTCAGTACTTGAATTGTTATTATGGTGTAATGAGAAAAATTTACCAATTGAACAATTTGCTTTACTAAAGTCAAGAATGCTTGGAATGTTAGAAGAGTACAATCGTCAATTGTACCAAGGTACTTCCCTTGAACAAACACAACCAGTTATTGAACAACAAAAGAAGCCACAAACAGAGCCAACAAATCCAAATGGTAAGAAACAACGTGGAAGACCTAAGCTGGATCATAATAGAGAATGTAGTATTTGTCATACAACCAAAACATCTGAATGGAGAACTGGTGAGTCACCAAATACTTTCTTATGTAATGCTTGTGGTCTTAAAGCTCTTAAAAAAAAGAAGAGAGAACAACAAATGGCTACTACTCCAACTTCAAATTTTGTAAGTGGAACAAATTATATCCCTTCTTAATTGATTGTTTCTTTTAGGTTTATATGTAATTCTTTCAATGTTGGTATTATCTTTTTCAAGGGTTGAAATTGATGTGATATTCTGTTATCTTTATTTTTTTGTTATTTACTTTCATGAAGAAATTTTCTTAGTAACAATAATTAAATGAAATTGTTGGAAATTAATTGTTTTGTAAAAGAAACTTATTATAATCACTTTTTAATTTATTTCAATTATAATATAAAATTTAGTTTTTTAAATATTAGGAACATTGGTATTGATTAAAGTTTCTTTGAAAAAAATTGTTTGATGTACCAGTCGTAAAGACTATTAACTTCTTCTTTACTTATTGGAACTGAGTTGGTTGTCATTCTCCCAATTTTTGATTGATAGTCATTAGTCAATGCTTTTTTCATTACTTCTTTATCAATTTCACTAATATTAATACTAAAATGATGATAAATAGATTCAACAACAGAAAGAGGGTCTTTGATTATCTCATTGAAGAAAACATCATAAATTTGTGATTGTCTTGATGGATTTTGTTTGACCCATTCATTTCGTACATCTATCGCTTGTTTCAAGATACAGTTCTCTATCTCTGCAATGTTATGAGATAACCATTCATCAGAAACTTTTTCCTGATTTGTTTTCGTTAAAAATGTATTTTTGATTGTTTTGAAGTAAGGAATAGAACTTTTAATGATGTCATATGGATTGCGATGAATCCATATTAACCGAATATCTGGGCATGACGACAATACATCTTTTAACACACACAATAACGTTGCATTCTTTATAATTAAGAATTGGCCATTGTTCATTGGTCTTCTTAAAAGATTTAATTTATATACATTCCATTCGAAGTCCATTAATGAATTCCATGAAGAAAAGAGGTTACAAACAATGTCCTTGTATTGTGGCAATGCCATACAATGAGCAAAATACAAACCATAGCAATTGTATTGAAACACACATTCTTCATTTGCATCTGGATTAATTGCATGAATTTTATCAAAATCATCACACCCTCTTTTCATCATATTATGAATATATTCTGTGAATTGGCGTTGTGCTTTTTCTGTTATCGTTGAAAACCCAGGACACAAAGCCTGCCATGATGTAAAGTAATGAGCTTTAGTGTGTGCACACATTATATTAAATAGTGTTGTTGATCCACTTCTTGGAAGACCAACAATAATGATTGGTTGTGTAATACGAATTTCTTTGAGAGAGTGTTTATTGATGTGAATGTCTTTGAATAGTCTCATCAATGATCCAATTCTATTCACTGTTTGTTTTATGAAAGCAAGGTACTGTTCTTTGTCTTCTTTTACTTGATCGTTTACAAGAAATTGAGCACTTTGTAATGAAATTACTTCTGTTTGATGAAGGTCATTCCAAGTATCATTTAATAGTGTTTGATAAAGTTCTAAATGGGTTGGGTCAAGAGACTCTAAAAATTGTTGGATTTGATGTTGAATTTCATAAAGATGAGAGTCGTACCAATCATTTAAAGAGATATCCATGGGTAAAATTAATAGTTCTTAAAGTGAATTTAGAAGTTTTATCAGTACTTTTTTTAAATATCCCAAGAAAAATCTGTGATATAGATATCTATTAATCTTATAACATGATTTATCAAGAGATTGTTTCAAGCAATAGTCACTACTAATTGTCTTATTTGATACATCACCAACTAACCAAATTTGATTAATTAATAGTTAGAGGAATGAATAACTGACTATATTTACTGTAAAATCTTTCTATATTTTAGTTTTTTTTATGTAAAAAGTCTATAAAAATAAGTGAGTAAATAAAGAGTTACTTTTCATATCATTATGTTTCAACTCTGAAAAGTACTATTATTATTGTCTTAAAAAATAAATAAAAAAGTAGCGACTATTAATTAGTTTTACATTACTGAAGGTTCTAATGTTAAAGATAAGTATTATTACAACTACAAGACAGTAAAATAGACAAATTAAAGATTTTAATAGAAGTATTTTGTCAAATCATAAATGATAAATCATAGTCATTAAAAAAGAATATTCACAGTATAATGTATAACTAAATATAGTTTAGACATTTGAAAGTGAATATTAGAGATGTATTAATAAATTATATTTCTTTCCAAAGACACAGTTCCAGAAAGCTTTCACATATTATTTTACGTTTTTTTTTAGAGGTTGATTTAATGAAATAAGTTGTGTAAGTTATTTGTTTAATTTATTTTTCTATAATGTAATTTAAATGGACTAAAAAAGAGAAGAACTTTATACTTCACAAATTAAAATAGAATGCCAAA